TATCATACTTATTTTATATTACATCATGATTATAAATTATATTTTTTGTGATATTATAATTATAAAATTGTCAAATATAGAAATAAAAAATAAAAAATAGTTAAATAAAAAATATTTATTATTGTACTTTCACAAAATATTTATTCATTAATATCCTTTATCTCTTTTTTTTTGTCTATTAATTTTTTTCTACTTAATTTATGTTATTGTTTAGCTTTCAATTGATGGCATCATTTACTACATTACCAATAAATTTTATTTAAAATAAATTTATTTCATTAATTTTTTCCTTTTATTGACTTTTTCATTGACAAAAATTCACACTTTTCTTTGTATACCTATGCTTTAACCATTTTGTAACCAACTTGCATCTTGAGGTAGATAAGAAGCAGCACTGTTTAAGACGCAAATAGGCACCATTAATTAAACAAAACTGAACTGCAAACCAGTAGATATTTAGCCTCGCATACATTGACGCCACATCTCTGTTTCACAACAAAACTAGTGACAAAATAATTTGAATATATAACTCATTTCATACCAACTTCATGAATATACCTGCAAACCAGTAGGTAATAGAGAAGTGTCACGCCAAAAAATTGAACATATACATGAAAGTTGATGTTTGAGTCAAGATAAAGATAAACAAAACATTATTCTGTTCATGCATCAACTTTGCTTAGGCCATTTTTTGAATAGGAGAGAATTGATTCAGAAACGTATTTATATTTCTCTAGTGATTGTAACCCGTTATTTTGGGTAATGAGATTGGTTTTCTATTGAAAAAAGAAACGTTTACTAAATAACAACCAACTCAAGACCTATTATCAGATGGCAAAGAACAAGTGAAGCCATGCACCTTGTAATATATCAGGAAGACACAAAGCCCCAATGCCTCCACCAGGCCAGGTGGAATGTCCTACAATCCATTAGTGTCAGTGAGTGATGTAGGTTGCTCTGACTAACACTACCATAAATTACCATCAGTCTTGTTTGTTCCTAGAGATTGTTAATGTTTCGTATGTAGAGATTCAACATGAGAAAAACGGGATGACTTGAAGGAACTGCTAGAAAGATCTGGAAGCTTTAGAGTAGCAATAATGCCTGCTGCTAATGCACAAAAAGCAGCTAAAATAAAAGCAGGTATATTTTCTCCACCAAATAAGGCATCCCACGGACCCGCACCAAGGGATATAATCATCTAGAGAAATAAAAATGCGGTAGAAATTAGCTTTAATTGACTCAACAAAATGCAAGCACATAAAAAACACTATACAGAATTATTTTAAGACATGATGGAATAGACAATTTGTATAGAAGACAAGATCTAAGATAAAAAATAGGCCTTTTACGAGCCTTGATCAGAAACAATGCCCTAAAAGAAAATACTTATATTGATGGTGAAAATGTAAACGCTGTGATTTTTTAATGATGCATGATCATTCACCATCACCAACTGCTCCACAAAAATAGAGTTATAGCATAACTTTCTTTGACGACAAAACAAAAAAAGGCACAACTTTTAAGTAAGGTACTCCATTTGCTCTAAAATAATTGTCATTTTTTTAATGAATTTAGATTGAATTGAGACTAAATTCATTTTAAAAATTGACAATTATTTTAGAATAGATGGACTACCTAATTTTAAGAAAATAAGTACAATGATTGAACCACTTTACTAAAAGAAGTACCTTAATTCCAAAACAGAAAGGAGCAACATGATTAACAAGGAAAACAAAGAAAGGAAGTAAGAAATAAGAAATAATGCAATTTCATACCTGTGGAATGACAATTGAAATATTTAAAATTCCTATTGCCAACCCTGCCAGACGCACAAAATTGTCAGAAAAGTGTCCAAATTTGGTAAATAAATTAGGCAGAATCAAAAGCTAAAGAAAAAAATTGTCCGACAAACCTTGTCCGCCACCTGAATTGGCAGTCAACTCTGCTATGATAGAATAAGGAACACTAGATGTAATCTGCCAGATGAAAAAATTGGAATTAAAGAGAAAAAGATAATGAAAGAAAGAAACATTTCAGAAACAAGATTTGAAGAATATAGAAATCTCCTGCAACTCTTTGACACATACAGCAAGAGGAAAGCCAAGCAGAGCAAATACAATCAAGGCAGCAAATTTTATGGCTTCATTCCCTCCAATTACATGTTGGATTCCTTCAGAATATTCTCGGACAGATATCAAGCTAATGATAGCAGTGATAGCCATACAGGCAAAGAGAGTAAAATTACTCATTGCCCAAACAAGTCTTGCTCCCATCCATTGACACATTGGCTCAATAAAGAAAGAACCAATGCCCAGAACAACCTGAACACAGTGACCATTATTGAAATGAATAAAGTGTACATCATCAATTAGAGTTCTCAGGTAAAGAAAGATCGTTCTTATATTAGCCCAAGGAAAAACCTGAAAAATGTCTATTTCAAACTACTGGTGCTTAATTTTGAGTTCTTACTGAATTCAATAACAAACCAAAAGCACCTTGTCTGACACCTTGATCATACAACTTCATTTCAGAAAAATCCCCTTTGGGATCTCCATGGTATACTTCCCTTCCCATCCAATCCGTATCAAATAGGAAGAAGGGGAACCAGGAGAACTGCATGAAGAGAAACATTTTGATCAAAACAAAGAAATAATTGAAAACAAGAATGAAGAGGTAGCATGTGATGTTTGAGCTTTCATGCAACCATTATGCAGAAACAATATCTACATGTAAGTTTCTACCATTAATCATATGGTTTTTGGCTTTAACTAATATAATAGAATCATAAGGGTAGAAACAACGTTGAGGCTTAATGGTGCACAAGGAGAGGGAGGAGATAAAGGGAGATAAATAGAGAGAAAAATAGGGACCGCAAAAGGAAAGAGAGGAAAATATGAGGGACAAGGTGAGCAGGTTGAGGAAAATATATAGGGAAAGCTTTAACATTATTAATTCTAAATCTTTGGATAATATCACATAAACTTGAAGCACAGAACCTAAAACCCAATTAAAAGTCTACGAAGGACTCAATATAAACATAATTACCTCATTAAGTCCCAAAAAAAGTATAAATAATTCTTCAAAGGATCATGCCTTGATTGCATCACATAGTTACAAAAACACTTACCCAACTAAGAGCTGAAACAATAAGTACTGAGTGCATTGCTGGTGACAACTGCCTTAAACTGGTCAATAAATTGACCAGTACTGCTCCAGGCCTATCACTGAAATTTTCATTTTGATCATTCACAGCTTTTGAGTAGAGATGCTTTGGGGTTTTATCTTGTTCATAGCCATTCTCAGAACTGTTCATGTTTGCACTGGCAACAACTGGCACATCATGTTCTAACTTTGAAAGTTCAAGACCAGTTTGTGTCAGATCATCCAACAAAGGAGCTGAGTCTGATAAATGATTTGGCTGCTCACAGGCAGATAGTGGAATCTCCTTAGCAAAATATATAGTCACAAGAGTACACAATGTCAGGAAGACCTGCACATGCCAAAGAAGCCTTTAGATGCGTATAAGTATGCACCAAAAAAGTTATGATAAAAACAAGCCAGAATGAAGGGCACAAAACTGGTATTTAAAAGTATGAAGGTAATTTTAAGCCAGGGCACCAACAAGACACTGAAGAGAAATCCAAAGTTAGGAGAAGTTATAAAACAAAATTTCTCAAAAGTATAAATGGCATATTGCTAAGTCAGCTCATTAGAAATAAATGACCATCCAACTGGAATACTTCAAGGCTAAAAGAAATATCAGGATAGAAATGCGTCTATGGTACAAATAAAGTGGTCAAAGGAAATGACATTCAAGATCAGTAATCTTAGGAGGCAGATTCAGGATCGATACTATGCTCATTCTCAGCACCATTTACCTTAAGAAGCATTTAGTAAGTCAAATTATTTGTGTATACATATAAGTCAAGGAACAAAACTGACAAAATTAAATTTACTTGACTGAAGCCAAACAGAAAATTTTTACCACTGAGGCTTGAAACGTTTATGACAGTAAAAATTCATTGGAAATTAAAACTCACAACAGCAAGAAGAAAAGCTGCTTTGAGATTGGCACAGGCTTCACAGCAAGCTCTATTTTTCAGAAAAGGAAACCATCTGCATAAAAATATTTGCAAAACAAATAACTTAACCCAATATCTTAATACCGCAAGTAAGCAATGAAAATGTTATGCATCTTTAACTGTTAGATATCTTCACATAAACTTTATAGAATAATTATGATAAAAAGAGAAATAAAGGAAAAAACTGAAACAATTAACCTAATATGTTTCAATTTTCATCTTCATGCTAAGAGCTCAGCCAAAGTTATCAATTTTAAAATTTTTAGTTTCCTTTTTCAGTTTTATGTTTATGTTTATGTTTTTGTTTTCAAAATTTTGACAAGGAAACAAAATCCTACCTAAATAATTGAATTACTACATATGTGTTTTTTTTCATTTTTTGGTTTGGATGTCAAGGTGTCCTCAAGTCAGCCTTCACACACCTTGAGACTAATCCCTTCCCAGGCAATCTTAAAGGGGCACCCCCACATCAACCTGTTGCATTCAAGGAAATTAATTTCCTTGGGTGCTGGTCCAAAGACTTAAACCCTAGAGTCGGCCTACAAGACGACATTTGCTTACTCGTGGATCCAACCCTTGGGGTTGTAATATTACATATAAAACACATTATAAATGTGAAAAAAAAAATGGTTTCACCTGTGCCAGTTCCCACTAGCACCAGCAGCAAATCCTAGGATGTTTCCTACAGCCAACCATGAACAATATACAGCATTTGCAGAATTTCGTTGCTCAGGACCTAAAAAATTATTCAAACGACATTATTATGTCTTAATATACAGAATCATGAATCAGTAAATAAAAGATGTTACATCCAGAAAGACATGACAACTTTCCACTTTTTCTCTTTAGAAGGACAAAAGAAAGGGTGCTTACTGGATAGATCAGCCAAAAGGGCACGAGCCGGTCCCTAAAATAAAAAAAGAAGTATTATTGTTTGCACAAGTATGTATAATCGTAAATGCTGAAGGAAAAAAATAACTGCTATTGAAAACTTACCCCCAATGTATTGTTAGCAAGATCCAACATCCAGAACCCAATAACAAAAATAATAGCTGCCCTTGTCCGTGCACCTTTAAATGTACTGCATTGAATAAATCATTCCATCAAGCTATTCTCTTGGACGTTTCATGTGTGACAAGAAAGCAATGGAGGATTATACAAACCTGCAATGCTCCTTCGTATCACCCAATATGTATCCTATGTCTGCAGAAAACCCGATCATTATGACCTAAATTACGAAACTTGCTTTAGCTAACATAAATAGACTAAACATAATGTATTAAATGTTAATCAAGTAACACTATGGTTTTGCAATGCTTACAGAAGCTGAGATCATAAGAGCCCCTGCAAGGATAAAAGGACGTCTTCTTCCAAATTTTGAAGTGCATTTGTCACTCCAGATACCAGCACAAGGTTGAACCTGTGATAAAGATAACTCATCAAATTGTACAAAAGAGGTGCAAAATGTTTTTCTAAATTAGTTTAGTTGTAACCATCTGCCTAATTGCCCATGATCCTAGGTAAGAGACATTCCATTGTGAGTGAAATGGATCAGCAATAAGATCTTTGTAATGGTTGGGATGCGAACTATAAGACAATATTAAGTAGCATTAGAACAACAAACATCAAATTATATCTCTTTAAAAACAAAGGAAATGCCATTATAAATGACTCCAGCATGGCAGACACTACCTACTATTACAATCAAGCATAATAATATGCAGCTGATCAAAAAAAAAAAAAAATGCAAAATAATGTGCAGCCATCATCTTTTGTATGCTCACTGCAATTAAGGTTAAACATGATTTCAGGAAATGCTAAATCCATCTCAGCAAGATTAACATTTAACAGCAATGTCCAAGTTACTGTAAAACTGAATAGCAGAGATGAAACAAGCACATTATTAGGGACCAAAAGAAAATATTTTATCATGAGCAGTTATTGAATAACATTATTAACCATTCTTGATTCTGTAATTAAAATTTCAAAAAATTAGGTTAGGTGCCTCTATCCTGAGTTATAAATAGTTGTGTCCAAAGAATTGTAATTTCATAAATTACAGCAGTCTAGGAGTTTAGGTTCCTGATCTTGGAGTCTACATTTGTTGTTGTCTAGGACCCCAACTAGGGTTGGATCTAATGGGGTGGATCGGTTTCAAACCAACCTGAGTTCAATCAGAATAGGTCAATTCAGTTCATAGGTTGGATTGTATTGTGGTCATCCTTTTTTCTTCTCCCTTTCATTCATAGAAACAGCCACTCAAAGGCGCTTCCCTTACCTCAAACCCAAGAGATATTAAATATCCACCAAAATCATCAAAATAGAAAAGATAAATGTCTCTCACATGATGAGAAAAGAGAGACTGACCGAGAAAGGAAATCAGATTTATCAATTCACAAACATTCCTTACTTTTTGGGTTCATTGGTGGGATGATGCCTAAACATTTGTTTGGTGAAGGTTAGAAACCGAGATCCAATCCAAAGGTCCCAGGTGAAACAGTCTAAAGATATAGAACAGAAAACTGGGGCAAGAAAACAAGAATCAACCTTAACCAAGCCAAACCAACCTGTTTGATTCTTGGCTAATCCCGAACAAATTTGCATTCCTAATTATCTTTCTTTGTGACTAGATTTCCTATCTGGTATAAAATGGAAATCGCAAAAGTTACTCCTCTTTTGCAACCCAAATGGAGTCTGTTTGCCCAAATCCTTAAAACCCCAAACTTGTCATATTTTCTCCATCAGAATCTTTTCAGTTAAAACGCCATGGATAGCCCACTAAAAACTAGTTTCCTCATTTTCAGAAGATTCCAGGACCTATTTTCGGATGTCCAGCTTCTGCTTTTCATAGTTTCTCTACACTCACTCTTTAGGTCAGTTACTAACCCCAATTATATCTTCTAATCCTAAAATATTTGCTTTCTGGACCCTTAAGCCAGCCACAAGACCAATAAGGAGATTCCCAAATGTGTTCAAAATAAACCAGAGTTGGATACTGTTCTGGATAAGAAAGCCAACCAAAAACCTTTCGAGCATGTGAAGCAGCTAGTAGATAAAGAATTTATCCAGTTAAAAACATAACACTATCAAATCTGGTTCACATCTAGAAAGATTACAGCACAATGGAAAAACTACTAAAGAGTAACAACATTAGCATCATTGACAATTAAGAAGCCTACAATCTCTTACACAAGTGCTTAAAAATGGAGAGGGGAGAGATTCGTTTGCTATCACATACCACAAGACCTGTTATAGGGCCACAAAGCCAAATAAATGAAGAAAATGCGTGCTCAATTCCAAGGGTCTGCATCAGGCAATCAAAGAAGAGAACCGTCAAGGAAAGAAAGAAATTCATTCTAAA